CCCTGACTGGGAGGGGGGGCGGGGAGCGGAGGGCAAAAACAAGTCATTCGATTAACTTGTTTTTCTTCTCTCTCTTTCCCATTTTTCGACTGCTATTTGCTGAAGCAAATGAAAAGTGCTTTATTTTGCAACTTTAGTGCTAAAAGACGAAGAAGGCTTCTTGAAAGGCGAACTTATTTTCACCCAAATCCGTATTTGGGGTAGCCCTGGATTTCACCCGAGGGTAAAACTTCCTCGTAATTATGTCACCTTGTTAAAAATCTTGCAACTTGTTCACCCAATTTCACCTTCTCGATCTTCATCTACTTCACCTCTCTATCGCATCGAGGAGGCAGCGTATGTACTTTGTGGCGGTAGTGACACAACTTGAAAGTTAGTTATCAGGCCACGGGTAATAAATGGTCCCCTATATCTGGTTATTCCCTACTTACCACGCTATCAAAAAGTACAGATTCAGACTGTCCATTTTCTTTAGGTCATTTTAGGCTCCTTGTTGTTTGCGTCAATGCGGAAATCTAAACTTTGCCTGACTGGATTACTTTTTTATGTCATCTACACTACTAATTGCCATTAATGAAACCCTCACAACTCTACCCGGCTATTCATGTTCTTCCATCCATTATCAGATATTGTATATGCAGAGTGAGCTCGTTTTTAGAATGCGATGAAAAGAAATCCTTACTCTTTGTTTAGCCTGTTTTTGCTTCAGCGTATTTGCAATGGTCGGTCTGTAGAGAGTGATTATTCTGAACTGTCAAAATTTACGATTCTATTCCTGCAGAAAAATTTTACTTATCTATCATTTGTTCCTCAATTTGGAAATTGGAAGTGTTAAGAAAAGGACATCTCGTATCTGCTCTTTGTAGCTAAAAAGTAATAGTGAGTGACATGAAATGATGCAAAGTAGATCTGCCATCTCTAGAATTTTGGCCAAACGAAATTCTCCAATGGCATGAAAACTAGGTATCATCGAAGCTGATATGAACCTTAAGCCAGAAAGTAAATAGATTTTCAATCAGTGCAGATGGATATTCTACCCACGGATGACGTTTCCATTTGCCAACATCACCACCCTGTCTTATTTACCTCCGCATCATCTGCACCTGAAGCGGGTACTTTCCTCCTCCTTCAGCCAGTGCAAATAGAGCCAGCCAATCTGCCACTACAGAACCATCGTATAGCGATACATCTAGATGTAGCCACAGCAACACATCAGTGCAGATTAGAGGCAGCGAGAAACGCAAAAACGCAGTACTTAAGCAGTCTGCTTTATTTCTTAGTCTGCATGCATAATGGGTTTAGGCCATGGTGACAGTTTGAACCCTGGAATTCATAAATAAAATCCGTGGTCCTTATCAGAAATTCTTAATGACGTGGCCTCAACTTAACGAGATAACCATGTTTGATGGCATTGGAGGGCTACTTAAAACATACGTCCACGTAGGGAGTTGAAATTCCTCTACTTGATGTGCCAGGACCTACAACTTTCGCCTTGTCATGCAATGCTGCTGAATGTCTACCCAATATTTGTCTTTTTTTGCCTCTTCGTTGACAACTGATTAGATGTTACGCTTTTACTGGGTGTGTGACACCTACCCCTTTCACCCTTCCCTCTCCTTCACTGATTTGGTTTGACAAAGGGGCAGAGGAGGAATGTGGGTAACCATCACTCCCTGTCGTGTGCAGTTATGACAACTACATATTAAATATTGCCTCACCAATGCACTAACTACCCTACACAGTCTGTAGGACTAAGAAGAGCAGTAAAATACGAAATTGGTCTACCGACTTTCCCACCAGCAGCCTTACCTTTATCCTTCATGACTGTGTCGCAGTCATTGGGCAACTCTGTGACATTTTAGAACCTTAATGAAGGGTTTATCCTAAAGTCTGTTTATATGCACTTCATGTTCCAGCAATTTCACCAAACACGATGCTCAACTACTGACCATTGTTAAGCCCCCGATTCCGGATGAGGGACGAGAGAATGTGAGAATGGACTCTCTGATTTTGGGACTGGGCGGCGTGGGACAATCACTCCTGAATCGGGCACACTGCGAGCTCAAACATATTAACAGTAATTTTTTCTGTGAATTCAAAAGGGTTGAGGAGAATTCACTTTTGGCCATGCATGGAATGTGGAGGGCTAGATGATCTGTAACTTCGGCATTGGGACATTTTACTGGTGAATGCTTCTAAGCTGGGCAATAATTTCACACAACACTTATGTGACTGCCCCACTTTTAAACTAAACCTTGAAAGCACCACCACTTGCACCTCTGTACCATTCAAGGAAAATCCCTACTTAGAAGCTGTACCGAAGAATTGCGATTTTTTGTCTGTGCGTGGGTACACATGCACAACCTCCGGAGATCTGCCTCAGTGAATACATGAAATATTAAACAGGTTTGTGTGTGTGTTTGCGTGTGAGACAGTAATAAAAGCTCAGTTGCAGGTCCCTGCCACAATTGCAGGTATGGAGAAGCTGCATTTACTCACCCGCGAATCCCATTTACGCTTCAATTGACCTACGTACTATCATCAACATATTAATTTATTTACCTTAATCCTCAGTTGAGTAACTTTGGATCAACACCTCTGACTACCGGGTAAAATTTCTGGCTGAGTTAGCTTGGGCACTAGTTTGTCCACCGAGAGGCAAAAAGACCGAGATTTGTAGGCCCCATTAAAAAGATTAAATTATTTTAACTCCTGAGTAGTGATAAAGCTAACTTCGTTAGCCGTTTTGGTCGCCATCTACGACTGTTTCTTCTTCACTTGCCTTTTTTCGATTTTAGGGAAGTTAAAATGCAAAGGGATGCAGCTACGCAAAAGGTAAAATTCAACCCTTTCTTCCAAAGACTTTAAATTTAATAATTTCACTTCGAAACTGTCATTGCATAAGTTACCAAAATGGCCAATTCTGGTAAATTTTTTTGCTTTACAAGGCCCTCCATGTCACTGACTAGAATTTAATCGCCGTGACATTTTCTTCCCACCCTGACTGGGAGGGGGGGCGGGGAGCGGAGGGCAAAAACAAGTCATTCGATTAACTTGTTTTTCTTCTCTCTCTTTCCCATTTTTCGACTGCTATTTGCTGAAGCAAATGAAAAGTGCTTTATTTTGCAACTTTAGTGCTAAAAGACGAAGAAGGCTTCTTGAAAGGCGAACTTATTTTCACCCAAATCCGTATTTGGGGTAGCCCTGGATTTCACCCGAGGGTAAAACTTCCTCGTAATTATGTCACCTTGTTAAAAATCTTGCAACTTGTTCACCCAATTTCACCTTCTCGATCTTCATCTACTTCACCTCTCTATCGCATCGAGGAGGCAGCGTATGTACTTTGTGGCGGTAGTGACACAACTTGAAAGTTAGTTATCAGGCCACGGGTAATAAATGGTCCCCTATATCTGGTTATTCCCTACTTACCACGCTATCAAAAAGTACAGATTCAGACTGTCCATTTTCTTTAGGTCATTTTAGGCTCCTTGTTGTTTGCTCAGATAAAGTGGACTATAGAGAATGAGGAGCGAAATGACTAGCAGCTTAAAATGATTTAAGATAGACTTGAGAGAATCATCAGCTGCAATGAGCAGCTCAGAATGGACCAGAAGTAACCGTGGCGTTGGTTGGTTAATAGGTGGGAGGCGAGATGATTCCTATCGCATGATGTTGGGGTGGTGATTCAGTGTGGGTGACAGGTGAGTGGCGTAATCGCACCCACCTCATCTACCCCTGTGTCACCCAATAAACGCAGCTGGTTTGGACACTTCCTTCTCACCTCGAAGAGCGAGAGAGCAACGCAGACTGCAAACTAACCATATTGTTAATGACGCGCACATGGAGGTGGGAAGCAGAGCTTTCAACTTGGTGACTGCAGCACCCACCTGCAAATGAGGCTGCCATGTGTGTTTGGAAAGGAATGTGGGGGCACGATTTGTGCCCGTGGCAGTATTGGCAGTGGAGTCGACACAGAGTTGTGAAAGGGGACTACCTGCCTCACCACCACTTCACTGGAAGGGCTTTCATTCGAAGCATTAGTTGGGTGATGTCAAACGTGTAATGTACAACTTGATGTGGGTGTTGTGGTGGCCCTCTACAGAAGAATAGTGTGCGTAACTTGTCCGAGATGGTGGATTCAGGAGAATGGAGTCGACATCACGAGTTAGACCGGAGATGCAAGTGAGTGTGTGGCTCTTTAACTGGAAACGCTCTGTGGAGGTGGGGCTGCAGTGGAGTGGGAGAGAGGTTGATTTCCTGTGTGACTCACAATGCACGAGGTGGGCGCATGTTGCTTGCTGACAAATTGACTTGACTCACCACCACCCTGAGTGGATATTTTGCTGCTCACGAATTCCCATCACCTCTTCCATTCATCCACACACACACACACACACACACACACTAGCTGGCACATACACTTCTCGTCTTTCCCTCTGCCTAAAATAACTTGTTCACTCACCTCCTCATTCACATGCTCATCCTCATGCTCTGTGGATGTGCTGGAAACAAAAATCCGCTGCCATTTTAAGTAGCTCATGCATCAACTGCCACCTCTGTCATGGCTGAGGAATGAGACATTTCCCCTGGGATAGTTGCGCAGCTTGGCAGCAGCTTGAGCGTTAATGTGTGATGACATTTGTGAGAGAAACTGTGGAGGAGACAGTTGGAGTGATATGCGGATTGGGTGTGGTGGCCAAAATTGACCACGTCTTCACGTTGGCACCATGAGTTGGACGAGTGGTTTGTATGACCGTTTGGTTTACGGGTGGGGGGGAGGGGGAGGGTAGTGGACAAGTAGTGAGTTCAGCTGCTGAGTTCACGAGTGCGAAGGTGACACAGAAATATTCAACGATGCACGATTTTCTGCATGGCTATTGCTGGTGCCGCTGCTGCCACCACCATCACCACCACAGGTGTGTGTGTGCTGTGTGTGTAGTGAAGGCGAAGTGTGGGATGGAGTTGTGTGGTCATGTGTCACTTACCCATCGACCATCGTATCATCTGGTGGTGGTTGACTTGTTTGAAGGAGTGTAGGAGGAGGAGGAGGAGGAGGAGGAGGAGGAGGAGGAGGAGGAGGAGGAGAGGATGAGGCTGTTGCTGGCGATATGAAGACCACTCAGATTGGATTGTGGAGAGGTGAGGTCACACGTGGTGGGAAGAAGGAGGATCCGTGTGTGGTTTGATTGGAGATTTGGAAGGTGTTTTGACAACTCTAACCCAAGTGACAGGTGGAGGAGCACGAATGACGAATGTAGGGGGAGGAGTTGGAAGATGCGTGTGGCGATGAAAGTGTGAACGAAGAGAGGATGGAGAGTATTTCCTACTCTTACATGAAGTGAATGTTGTGGTGAGAGCAGGAGGACATGGTCGTTGAAGAGGAGAGTAATGAGGTGTTGAGTGGTGAGTAGAGAGGGACATCCTGAAGAGAATTTGCTACTGCATGGAAACAAGAGCAACATGATCTTGACGCAGGGAGCGAGTGATTGAGTAAGTGGAGGTGAAAAGAAGAAAGGGATGGAGGAATTGAGGGTGCAGTGCTGGACACGAGGCAGTAATTGTGTGGTGACATTGTTGCCTTCACGTGTGTTCACTGACGTTACCCCGTATGTGGGATAGGAAATGGACAGAAAGTGAGGTGAATCAAAAGTGCCGCTCCTTACTCGCTTTCTCCCTCCCATTCTCTTTATCTCTACCTCTTCTCTCTTGCCGTCTCCTTCATTTTCTCTCTCTCTCTCTCTATTTCCCACTTGTTAGACAGCATCTCTGCAAGCGACTCATGATTTATGGACGGAGATATGGGATTGGTGAGATGAGAGTTGTTGGTAGTGTGTGCCCTCCCAACACGGAGGCGTCGGAGCGTGAGTGGAGGAATAAAACAGCACAAGCACGACGACGGGTGGGCAACGTGGCACAGTCACGTCTTTTCTTGTTGCCTTCTTGGCTCGTGTTATGCGGTGTGCTGCACTGCACCGTGTTACAAGGCAACTCGAAGCAGCACGATGTGTTGTTGCACCGGAACTGCATGTTTCTGGGCTGTGTTGTATTGTGTTGTGTTGAGGGGTAGTGTGGTGTGGTGTGGTGTGTTATTGCATGGTGTTGTATGATTTGGGGTGAGATGGATGCGGTACGGCGAGCAAGAACGCTGTGTCTGCATTCCTTCTTCAACTGAGGTGGGTAGAGGTGGAATGAACTAGACTGAACCGGACTAGACCAGACTAGACGAGATCAGATTAGTCCAAACTAGACCACACTACACCAAACTGAACTGAACCGAACCGAACCGAACTGAAGCGAGATAAACAGTTTTATTTCTGAACTTGTGGCCTAGAGAGAGGGGTTGCGGATCTAGTATGTGAATTGCCCCAACGCAAAATGAATGAAATTTGTAGTGGAAGTATTTTTCTGGTTGTTATCCCACACGGACCACTTTCGAGGACATTTAATCAGCATTTGTCGTGTGTCGAGTAGCCGTCATTCCCAGGTGTATAGGCACCCATACACGTCTTGTTGAGGTTCTTTGGTAGGTGGTGCAAACCAACTTCCAATTGGTGGCTTTATGGGGCTAAAGTAAGAGGGGAACAAGTCCTGATTCCACGACTTCCTGAGGCATTTGTGAGTTTCCACTGGATGGGACCATTTCATTAGTGGTATTTCAGTAGTATCTGTGCAAAACTTGTGCTAACCGTAGTAGCACAATCAGGTAGTATGGCACTTGGGATGCCGCGTTCTCCTTGACTGACGTGTGGATTCACCTCAAATCGTGTATTGGCATTGCTCTACCGGTGGGAGGAGACGGGCTGATTGTCCCTTTCAAATAAGCGCTATTTGAATTGCAGCTAGCAGATGGCATTGGATTGTGTAGAAGGGGACTGTGTTCTACGTCGGATTTGAGTGGTGGAAGTGGATGACTTCGATTGATTGACTTCTTCTCATCTTGCTCTCCTCCCGTGCCCCCTTCTTTCCTCCAGCCCACCTCTTTCCCTTCTTCTTCTTCTTCTCCTCCTCCTCCTTCTCCTCCTCCCCATCTTCTTCCCCTCCGTAACTTGCAATGCATTGCTGCGTTATAGCCGAGGTACCGTGCAGCAACCACAGCAACCTCTTTTTCCGCTTGTGAAATGCCTCATCGTGTTTGCCTTGTATTTGTGGCTGATTCATGGCCTTGTTTTGGTTTTAGTTAGTGTTCTCTGAATGAGGTATGCTTTTGCAATGATATGAGAATGGAAGGAAGGCTGGGCTGTTGTCGTTGGGCACCTAATCAACTTGTTTTTGTTAACTGCGTCATGATGAGGCGTTGAGGAGAGTGGAACCAAAATGAGTTCTTTGACTTTGTGGGTAGGTAGCAGGCAATTGAGGAATTGTAGCGATATACGGAGTTGACTAGGAGTGGGAGATTGAAATATGTCTGTTTATTTGGCATTTTGCATTGGATTTGGATCACTGATGGCAGACGCTATGTTGCTCTGTTATTTCATTGTCCCCCTCTGAAGCAGTAGACAAAGAACATATCTTCTTTAATTTTTATTCCCTTAGACCTGTTGGAACTGCTCATTCGGGTTGATGAAAGCTGATTTTAAATTGTTAAGTTTTCAGGCATTAATAGCATGCAGATTAGGGCTTTCAGCATCTAGAGTTAATGAAGAGTTCTTTTCCTTTTGCATAATTTGAGCTTTCATTAGTTCAGTCCCTGTGCTCATCATCAAGTCAGATTTAGATAACTTGTTTCTTTTTAAGTATACATTAGTGGGCTCACTTCTTTTAGTTAAGATGTTTGCTCCCGGGTGTAATCACTATCTTTTCCTCTTAAACTCTCTACATTTACAATTTAGTCGGAATGAACTCGTAACTCAGCAAGTTTCTTCTTTCTGCTACGGATCGCAAAGAATGGGAACTGCATTTGCCTCTTCATGGTTATGCGATCGGAATGATAGCATATCAGGCCTCAATGCGATAGGGAAATGAATAAATTTTGTATGGCGCGCCTATGCACACACAGCTAAGGGTCATCAAAGGTTACCATCTGTTTGAACCAATTCTCCCGTCTCACCTAGATTCTCCCTCTGACTTCACCTGGAATGAACTTTCGCTGTCTTCTTTTTTCTATTCTCTTTTGGGTTGATTTGACGGTTGAGGAGGGTTTGTTTTTCATGAATTAATTAGTGCAGCTGCCACGAGATCCGTGTTGTGGGATGTCACGCAGAAAAGGGTTTTTAATCAGGCTAAGTTGGGAAATCAATTAGTTTTATTTTCCTCTAGCAATTCCACTGACTTGTGACGCTTCTTCTACATCCAAACTATGTAGAATACGAGCTATTGCCGCAGGACGAAGTCAGAGATGTTCGTGATTACCTCAACGGCTTTTCCAGCAGCAGGAGCACTCAGTGAATAAATCTAAGGATAAGTCGGAATTCCTGGGGATTTACTGTCCACATTACTGGATAAATGTAGAGTCAGTGGCTTAATTTTATGCTTTTTGTTTCGGGCTAGGCGGTCAGAACGGTGGTGAGGTTGAGTCCAAATGAAATTTCACTACATCACAATTTAACCCGTGAAAAAATCGTACTCGGAAATTATCAATTAAAATCAACTGCACGTAAGTTGAAATCGTTTGCTTATTATTTCTTACCACTTTCTCCTTCCACTGTCGAAGAGTTGTCTGAAGATTATTTGCTGTTATCTTAGGCCCATTCAGTGGTGACCCTGTCTTCTTCCTTCTCGAGAAAAGGGCGTGGTTAACATTGCGATGCAGCACCTCCCTTTGAGTGATTCATCAGGAGACTCCAATTACTTACGTTAATCCTCTTTAGGCACCCATTCTGCTAGTAAGCTTTCCCTTCTAGAGTGGTGGGAGAGGTTCCAACTTGGTTCATACCCAGAGACGGAATCCCACGCATCGCACTCAACCGGCGAGATGTAAATGAGAGGTAGAACAAGCCGAATGATAACTAGTGGCCAGTACGTTCATTCAATTGTCTTTTTTTTAGATGAGTTGGGCCGTTTCCTCTATACTTATGACTTCTGATAGTGTCGGATCGAAACGAGCAAATCTTTTGTCGATGACCTATTCTACTGACTTCCTCTGTAGAAAACCTAAATTAATGAATAAAACTATTTACCTTTTAAGTACCCTAGAAGTGCCATTTACTAGGATAATTCCAGACTTGCCGACTATTTTCAACAAAGACCATATTTTGTGGCAAGTAAAAGAGGTTCAAGGGGGTTATCTAGGTGCCCAGGTGAGATATCTTACTCGAGGTAAATCGACCTATACAGTCTCTGACCTCCTAGCAATTCGTATTTCCCTTTTACTCTGATCAATTTAATCAAGTTGGAAACCCGATTTTGGAACAGGTCAGCACCAGCCAGGTCGAATAACTTTGATCGACTTGCAGGTCGGCATTTTTAAGTCGTGCGATTGGGGTGCGAGGCTTTTTGAATCACCTGGGGCTAGGGAGGTCACTTCCAACCCTACAGTCAAAAAGTCGGAAAGTGCTAACTAAATAGAATTCGATTATTAGTTTTACTTCCAGATTTACTGAAATACTACATCCTTTTCAACTTGGAGAGTTTAAGTGAACCCATTCTTCTGCCTTTGAGTCGAGGAAGGTATTCGTAATTTAATCCTCACCTAATGCGCTTAACAGGTGGCATATTTCATCGCGGTTGATTTAATGCCCCTAGATCAAAGCCATATTTCCCTTCCCGCTGAAGCAAACTTTAGACTGCAGATTGCAGATGTAATTCCACTTAATGAGGCGAGTTGTGGTTTCGCCTAGCTGAATTTTTTTTGAAATGATCAAATTTAGGTGGTTTGTGGGTTTTGTATAGTTCCAACTTCAAAATGTGGTAGAAAAGTCGAGGTGATAATGCCAAATGAGGATCAGAATCACACCTCGTGTGTGCAGCGGCGGTATTTTATCTTGTCCTCTTATTAACGTGAAACCTAAGTAATCAACAGCCTATCTGACACAAAAAAGTACTGTCTGGTGGGAGCTTCATGGAGGCCACATTACGCATAAGTAGCACAACCGGTTATAGGCTCGACACAACATACTTCTACCTCTGTACAGCCATCTCTCCTTCCTAATAGATACTCATTTTAAGGGACTAAATGGTTTGGAGCTGGTTTATTTGGATCCAACGAGATAATTGAATTCGGAGTAAAATGGATGATTGGGAAATTTGGCGATGATTTGGCATTTTTTCGTATTACGAGCTCAGAATGAAGAAGCAACGCGGGAGTTACTATTTTAAAGTGGAAATCCTATTCCCTTATTTAGCTTTCAGCAGTCTTACCGTAGCACGATTGTGCCAGAACTCTGGAGCTTTTAGCACTCATAGGCAGCTGTCAGTGATGAACGAAATAGGAGCAACTCAGCATGAAAGGAAATGGGTAAAGTACGGCACTGCACCAGGATGAATTTTTTTCTTCAATCCTGAATCTGTTTAACTGTGGAAGGGAAGGCGTGTTAGCAAAATGGGTGTCTAGAAGGAACTGAGGTTAATAAATAGAGCCTCCTGATGGATTACTTGAAGGGAGGTACTCCATCATGTTGCGGACCACTCCCTATTTCTGAGCATAAAGGAGACAGTGCCACCACTGAATAGACCAATTAGAGACGCATGTCAATTAGTAACAACGACTTTTCCTTCACATTCGATGTAGGCGTCAGCAGGTTGTAGCACCAGCCGCATTACACATGACCGAAGGTTTTTAAGGTGGCACATCAATCCTTGATTGGCCCATTCAGGAGTAACACCGGATTCCTTGTACTCAAGGTCAGGGTGTTCTTCACAACGCAATGTCGCACCTCTCTTTGAATGATTCATCAGATGACTCCAATTATTTACTTCAACCCTCCCCAGAGACTCATTCTGCCAGCGAGCCTTCCCTTCTAGAATGGTGAAACAGGTTTCACCTCGGTTCCTATAGTAGGCAAGTTAGAATGGCATGCACCACATTTAACCAACCTTTGATGAAGTGAGAGTGGGTAGGAAATAGCAAGAAAGTACTACCGACCTCATCAGGGGTGCTTGTATATTTCGGCGTGCCTAAATAATCACGAACATCTCCCAAATCGTGACAACTTCCAAGTAGGCACTTCTGCGAGATACGTTGACATCTGCACAAATTGTTTCGTCCGATCAAGTTAAAGTTCAATTAACCCAGAAGACAATAAGTCACTTTGCCTCTCGTCATCATCAAGTGCTAAACAGAATCATGTCACAAAGTCCTCGTATCTACTAGTCGTCCACAAGAGCTGCCTTTGGCATTTGTTTGCTAACAATTGATAATTTTTTGTTTGGTTAGAGTATTGTCAAGCAAATGACCGAAAACTCTGTGTTTCTTACCACCAATTTTAAAGTACTGGAAAGTCTGCGCCGTAGAGCAGTGGACAGATCTGGTGTAAACTGTTATATTGCAACGCATAGTTGTTGGAATATACCTTAGAGATAAAAAGTGATCAATTTACATCAAACTCACGGCTGAGTTGACGCCAAAGTTACCAGGGAGTAGAAGAATACTAATCCCCCAGAAAGGCTTGGCATTTTATGAATCTCTCCTGCCACACAGAATAAGATATTTTCTCCGATCCCACCTCCTTGATCCAAGGATCTGAAACTGAAGGTAGGGGCGAGAACCTATGGAAATGCCACAATATTTCAAGCCTTGAAGGGGACTTATTGCTGCCTTTTCATAAAATGACGTCATAATGGGTCTTCTTAGCCAATTCGCTCTTTTCTTCCTCGTTACTAGTCAGTTTCGTAGCTTTAAGTCGTACCACACTGACATTTTACAGTGCAGCAATTGGGGTTTAATTAGTTGAAGTAGATCCATTTCACAAAAGGGCCCAAAAACTTGTTAACATTCCTGCAATTTTTTAAATATCGAAGAAACTATGCTTTAAACCACCCTTTCCCCCTTTTTTCAGCATAGATGCTCGAATGCGATTGTATTTTGTCCAGAATGGCATTATCAGTAGTCAGTGTGTAACAGATGAAACTCCAGTCAGAATACTACCCATTTAAAATACCAATGGTTTTTGGGAAAGAGCAGTAGGGGCCCAAGACTACCCCGAAGAAGAAAAAAGACATGATACCCGGGGTGGGGAATATGTAATGTAGACGTACAGAAGGGCTTGGGGCTGCTAGAGTGG